ACCAGTTCGATCAACAAAGATGCTCAAGTATGTGGATACGGCTGAGATTGCACGAGGGCCATACGACACTCCTGGACATTGGTTGGTAACTGCTGCTAAGCTTGTTACAGAAGGTGGGAAGATAGGTTTGCATGTGAAGTTTGCTCTATTAGATTTCTTAAATGAATCATAATTTCTTGTGTGTACATATTCTGGGGTTGCCTTGTCCTTTTCTTTACATCATTTTTATTCTGTTACATTTAGTCTTATCAGCTTCCAATATCTTGATGATATATCATATTGTTTAATTTATCCAAGAAATGGCGAACAGGGGGAGGAAAATGTTACAGTATTGTACAGAAGAATTTAGTGGAATGAATGGATTTATTTTTTGTTCTTTCCATCTTTTCAATTGTTTTTTTCAGTTTAGTTCTATGATATTGAGTATCCTTTCCTATTTGATCCCTTTGTATTACATATTAGAAGTTGCGATTGGATCTATTCATCGAAAAGAATCGATCAATACATTCCTTTCATATCACCTGGAAAGAAAGATCTTCTTGTTTATTTACAACTTTGTAGATTATGGATCCATACAGAATAATAATTTTATGACTTTATTGTTACAATGGATGAAGTTCAGAGACCATACGTGAAATTAACTCACATTTTGTATATAATGTCTAATAAACTCAATCAACTTACATATGTCCTCTCTTATAGGATACAAAGAATGAATAAGAAACCAAATAATACATATAATCAAAGACAGGGAATGTCAAATCTACATAAATAAGAGTCATAATAAAACCAACAGCTACAACAGCTATAATAAGCCACCAAACATCTTTGTTCAAGAATATATTCTCAAGGTTAAGTGCTTGAAGGCAGGCTACTATTGTAAATGCTGTGGCATAAAAGATTGAAATAATAGCAATTATGATCTTTATAGGCAAAGAAATGTAGAAATCATTGCTATAAAATTTGCAAAGAAGAAATGATAAGAGTGTACCCATAGTGAATACTGAACTAAAAAGTGCTGCACCTAAGTAAAACATCAACATCCATAGTTCTTGTTGAACTTTGTCAAGGAGAATAGGTAGGCCAGTTCTCTCTTCAAAACCTCCGGGGACTGTGAAAATCGCGGCAAAGTTGATGGTACAAAGGAGAGTAGAAAGTACTAGTGTGGAATTTGATAGATTTCTAACTGCTGTCTCTGCTTCTTTTCGTACGTGTAAGTGGTTTTTCTCGAATATCTCTTCTGCTTTTATGCCTTCTGAGTTTTTAACGTCCCAAAGGCGCGGATGCATGTTGTATTTTATATACTGCAAGAACAAATGTAAGTAAGAAATTATCAAGACATGATTGATTGTGTATTTTGTTGGAGTTGGATCAAGTGAAAATTAACAAATGTAAGTTTTTTAAGTCAATTTAGGACTTTTGGCCAAGTTAGACCTAGACCATTTTCATGTTTCACTTTTTCTTATGAAACTATTTAATTTGTTGATGGCTGCATAATGCTAGTTGGTGGTGGAGACTAGAGGTGAAGGTAGTTGATGGTGGTGGCTGATGATGACAGAGAAATGGTCGATATATAGTGGAGGTGATTATTTGTAGTGTAGGTGGTAGTTGTCAACAATAGTCGTTGTGTTGTTGAGGTTGTTGGTGGTAGAGGTGATCGACACTGGTAGTTGTGTGGTGGTGGCTGGCGGTGAAGATGCTTGGTTGGTACTTGGTAGCAGTAGCCTGGTGATGTATGTAATCATCGATGGTGCTAGTTAATGTGGTGGCTATATAGTGGAGGTGACTCGCGATGATAGTGGATATACTAAACTACTAACTGTAATATGTCACTTCACAACGAACCTCTCTTAATAAGATTTCGTTCAAGATCTTAATGAATCAGACCTATTCAAAACATATAGTAACCGATATTTAAAAATAAAAAAGTTAAAGAAACTTACCTTAAACCAAAGTACTCCCCACATCATCATTAACACAGACATCACACACCACACACTTTCAATATGTTCTGTAGTTGATGTAAAAAATGGTGTCCCAACATTTGCTGCATAATGCAAAATTGTATTCCCATTTTCATCAATATCAGCCAACATCCTGTTTTGACTAGCCACTTTTTTGAGCAAATAATCAAACAAAAATCTGTTTTTATGTTCTGCTGCTATATGCAATATGTTCCTCTTTTTTCCATCCAATGTCTCCACAACTTCAGGGTATTTTTGCAAAATTTCCACCACTAACTCATCAATTTTATGTTTTGATGCTTGTATTAGTGGATTTGACACAATGTGATCTGTACTACTATAGCTCCAATCATATTTTTCTAGCAACATTTTTGCTAATATTAGTGCAAGAATATGCTTTTGCTTTGCTTCATCAATAGCTTGTAACCAGGAATTACCTAGAGAAACAAAAATACAATCTAGAAATTCATCTCGACCAATTGAACGTGTAACTTGTAAAGTAATGGTGAGTGGTACCTAATAGAGACTTGGTAAACGACAACCTCTCAATGCAGACAACCTTAGTCCCAGCTTGTGTCTGGTTATCGCTAAGTTTTGATTCTTTATATCGCGGTGGAATACCTGCTAACACATAGGAGGGTGAAATTCAGTTACTTTAATGTGACAAACATGTTTCCGCGACTTTAATTAGTATAGTAAATTAAGTAGAGCTTACAAGAATAGATGATGGTTTCAATCATCTGAACAGGAACAGACGGTGTCTTGCCTATTTCTGCAAATAAGTAGTTGGATCCACTCCTGAATGACAATCTTTTTGTAGCCAACATATCCAAAGCAGTAATACTATCATTATCGCGATCATTAACAAGTTCAGGATACAAATTCACTATATCTATTGCTAGTTCTGCATGACATTAAACAAAAAAAATTATTGTATTAGTTTAAGCTGACGAGTATTGCCAAAAACCATATAAAGAGATAACGCTTGCCCGTTTAATTGACCATACATGGCGCAAATCTGAATTAGTCAGAGCCCTAAAGCGAGTACTGTAAGTCCAATGTAAACTTACCATAACAATCATGGAATATTGTTGCATGAAGGATAGTTTTACCATCATTCCTCTTCATTGTGAGCTTACTGAAATCACAATTTACCAAAATAGTAAATACATCTTTCTCCCCACTTGCAGCTGCAACATAAAGTGGTGTCTCTCCTAAATTGTTTTGCACATACACTAAGTCCTTCTCAATTCTCAAAATCCTTTCCACCATATCTTTTTTACCTGTCGTTGAAAACATAATTAAGTAAATACTAGTCTATCAGAGCAGGCAGAGGTCCTAGATTCAAGCGTGCTTGACTGATAAAAAAAAAACCAGGTTCATACGTGTAACTAAGCAAATAAAAGTGTTCTCTCTAACAATTTTTAGATGAGATGGTCACACATTTCAACATTACCAAATCTAGCAGCTTCGTGCAACGGTGTATCTCCACTATTGTTTCTAGTTTCGAGATCTTTAACACTCAAATTAGGTTCAAGAATTTCGAAACCAGCCACATTGCCATTTACAGCAAGAAAGTGAAGGATGGTGTCACCCCGATTATCAATCGGGGAGACACCTTCTTCTTTCCAAAAATCGCGTAAAACATGGAGAGATTGCAGTACTCCTGATGATGATGATGCAGCTTTGTAAGCTGCTGATCTGCATCTTGCTTTAGTACTGAAGTTGTTCTGCATTTTTCTTTCTTTATTTTTGGTAATTTTTGTATTCTTTTGAGTATATTTTGTGATGAATGAGATTTTCTTTAGCAAAAGTTCTTAAGGCTTGGTTACTAATTGGAATAACAAAAAGAAAAAAGCTATATACACTCACTTGTCTTTGATTGCTTTCTGATTTAAATTATATTTATTTGTGGAAATTTTACAAAAAAATACTTAATAACAACTTTACTCATTATATTCCTTTATTATTGTCCATGATGATTCTTATTATTACTTCATATCCAAGGAATGAAAAATTCTACAATATATAATTTCACTTTTCTTGCCAAACATACATAGGGTACTATTTTGATAAATAATGATGACTAATTGTTATTCGAGTAACTTCATCTTACTAAGAACATGATCTTAGATAGGAAGGTATGGAGGTCGAGAATTAATGGAGAAAGTTTGTAAATAGCTTGCCGCCGAGTGTGGTCTCCTGTTAGGTGGGAGAGGCAGGGGCTAGCTCCATATCCTCTTTCCCTTATTAATTAGTACATAGTTGATCGTAGTATTATGTAATCACGTAGTTTCATTATTCTTCAATATGTTTTACTTGCTTCATTTTACTTTGTATCTTGATATTTTGGTGTCATTATTTTTCTTCTTACAATCATTCTTCAATGAATTTCTCTTTTCAGCCAAGGATCTATCGGAAATAGCTTCTCAACTCCATAAGGATTTACATACATTTTATCCTCCACAGACCTCACTTATTGAATTACATTGAATATGTTATAGCTATTGTTGACATCCAATTTTGGACCTCCACAATATAGATTAATCATCGAGCTTCTTCAATTTTAAACGATTTAAAATAATTAGTTTTATAAAGTTTCAAAAATAGTTTGCAAGTTATTTTAAATAGTTTTGTCACTTTTTATAATTTTTTAAATAATATATATGTTTTAGATAATTATGTATATAATTAGTATATTTTACAAATATTCGAAAATCGTCTCAAAAGATTTTAATTTTACTTAAATAGTTGGTTAATTGGTTTAGTTAGTTAATACTTATATTTTTGAGTTATTAATTTATAATTAAATTAATTATTTTATTTTGTTAAGATGAAGAAATTTATTTAATATCTAGCCGTTCTCTAAAATTAACTCACTATAGCTACATTCTAAACTTTCAATGGCTATGATTGCAAGCCTAACCAATTTTTATTTGGCCCAACTTCGTTCATTCGAATTGAATCCCGGCAGCCCATTAACAAAACAATTGAGCAGCCCACTCCATAATACCAAAGAAACCCTTTCTTCTTCACGCGAAGAAGGTGACCCGAATCGCGACAATCCATCTCCGTACAATGACCGTTGTTGAACTTTCCAATCTTGCATCTCCTTCGTCCTTCACCAAGGAATCGGACGACTCTCCTCTCTTTCCCGTTACAATTCCAGCTTTCAATCATTTCATCCCAATTCAGTCCTCCTATATAAACCTCCTCTTTGCCTGGGAAAAATATATAGACGTTGGAGAGGCAGAAAATATACAGAGAAGGATATATAGATTTAGATATCCAAAAGTTAGGAGCTGAAGCTTTCTGAGTCTGCTGGTTTGGAAATCGATTTCTAGAGTTCGTTGCAGGTAACAACCTCATCCTCATCTCGTTTTGGTTGCTCTTCTTCGTCGAATGTTGTTTTCGCTGGGTTGAATAATGGTGTTATCTTCTCTAAATACTATATTTTTTTCCTGTTACCAGGTTCGGAATTTGTTTAATATGTTAAGCACTTTGAATGCTCTTGCTTCTCCAGTTTGCTGCCTGCTTTGTTTTCTGCTAGTGTTATCTGTATTTTTTTTAAGATAAGACTACTTCTCTCAAGTTTTCTTGATGTTTGGAAGTTGGTGTAATGCTTTCATGTGTCGTTACTTTGCCTCGTTGAAATTACTCTACTGGTTGTTCAATTTAAGCATCTGGTTGTTGAAATTTGCTTTGAAGAAATGCATCTTGGGAAATTTAAAACCTCCATTTCATCATTTGGGGTCATCTCGTAGTATGAAATTGTTAGCTCACTTTATATGTTGCTAGGATTCATTCATTCATTTATTCTGGTTGGCTGATTATTTTGTCATGAATGCGTAAAGAGATTCTTGTTAGATTTTTGGTTATCTCTCAACATTTTTCATGATTTTTTTGTGGAAGTGGCAGATTCGAGTTTGAAGTTTATTGTTTGCTAGCCATCTGTATACTTTCTTCAAGATTTTCTTAACAGAGTTCGAAATAGTTGCTCTTGGTAAGTTTTCTTCCTTTCAAAAAATTCCAGAAGTAAGTATTCTAGGTCAGATTTTTGAGCTTGTTTACATAATGGGGTGTTACATGATTTTTGATTTAGAGTATTTGTGAATTGTGGCTGTAATTTTATTAGCCTCATATGTTACTCATTTCAGGGAACAAAATCTAGATTAGATAATATTTATATTGCTATAGTTAATTTTTTCTATATTTAGTTCAATTTAGTCCATCTTAATGTTCTTTTTTCTTCTTCGTTGTTCTTTCTGTTTTAAGTTCAGTATTTGGTTTACCATCAAATTAAGTGAAACTTGAACCTATATGTTAGAAAGTCATTATGACCTAATCATTGTCTTTTTTATTGCTTTATGACTTTCTTGGTATCATTTGCAACCTTGTTAGTTAGTATTTTCAGTTGACAATTATACAACTTGCTATGCAACTTTCATTTTGTACTTCTAATAGTGTGAAGATGAGCTATACCAAAATAAAGTCCACAAAAGAGGATGAAAATCTAACAAAAAAAGTAACACAATTTAGGAGGAGGGGAAGAGAACATAAAATTAAGTCTAGTGACTGCAATAGACAACTAGTACCACAAGCAATTAGCTTGAGCATCTCTAGGGTCAGACACCCCAAAACTTGTCCTCGGATACATCTATTGAAGTTTATTCAAGTTGTCATTTGATGCCTGATGTACATTTTTTTATTTTGCAGTAGTTTGCTTCAAGTAATCAATTGTTACATGGATGTCTCTATTACTACTCTTTAGCTGCTCTTACTTAGAGAACATAGTCTTATCTCTTTGCTTTCTGGAAAAGATAAGAAAATCACCACCCACAAAGATGAAAAGTCCTATCTCTTTGCTTTCTGGAAAAGATAAGAAAAACACCAGCCACAAAGATGAAAATAGCAATATAAACTGCAATTTTGCATAGCTTAGACCCTTGAATCAACTTCATTCGTTTGACATATGACCACTCCATGCACAGAGCTTTCATGACCTTCACTTGATTGCACAACACATTCTTTTGCACTTTGGTACAATTGGATATGTTCCTTAGTCGAAATGTTACCTTGTAGTTTCAAAAAAAAAATCCCTCCAGACTTGTTATGTATAAGCAAGTTGTGACATTTGAGTGCATTTGTAGGTACCCTGACTATGAAAATTTTAAATTCTCTCATGATTTGTAGAAATGTAATCTCTCGTGATTTTTTTGTAGGCACAATCACTATCCGTGACTATGAAAATTTTAAATTCTCTCATGATTTGTAGAAATGTAATCTCTCGTGATTTTTTTGTAGGCACAATCACTATAAAAATTTTAAATTTAAAATAGCGAGGCAATTTTTTTGGAGCTAATTATAATGTAGAAATAGAAGGATAAACAATGGGTGGGATTGGATGACTGATAGTCACGAAGCTTGCCATTAGAAACCCCAATCGGCCAAATAAGCATAACTGACTCATATTACATGTAACTAATCGGCCAAAAGATAATGAGTGTGGAGAACTCATAGGAAATCACAATTAGCTCATTTCAGGCTGACCCATCAACAATATGGTTGAAGAACATGATAGATACCCATTGCGGAGAAATCGCCTTTCGCCTTCATTTGGTTCTAGTTGACTTGATATTTTTTCTGTTGTTTCAACTTTTCATAAACCAACTCTGTAACCAAGTTCATGAAATAAGCTTCTATATTCAGAACCTTCCGAAGAACCAGTATACAAACACCGAAACACTGGTGTGTTGCTGCAGAAAGGAATGTCTTTTCTCAAGTTTGATGTTATTTTGAAACTAAGTTGACTGTCTTTTCTTCTTCTTTAAGCATTTTTTTGATTGAGATATCGTGTGTACATGTGTAGTTAACTAGGTAGGGTCTTGCTAACTATGTTTGCTATTTTTTTTTTATTTTTTTTTTTTTTTTTTGATAACCGAGAAATCCGTCTGTGACTCGCCCTTTGGACCAATCACAGCCTTCCAAACTCGGTGGATAATGGGCCCGCCCCTCTACCCTTCTCCACTTAAATACCGGGCTTCGCTTTGCATGGTGTGGGGCTTGAACCTGCGACCTAAGTCACAAATCCTCCACCTTTTGCCACTTGAGCTAGGCCTTGGGGGCATGTTTTGGTATTTTGTGTATAATATCTTATTGTAAAAATAATAGTACGTAAACATAAGCTACTTTGTGCACCGGGATGCTCTTTTTTTAGAATTTTGTCAAGTTGTAATAGCTATTGTTTCATGATTTGAAAGTTTGTCCAGATCCAGTAACAACCTTTACAGTACTGGTGAACTTCAGTTGGTCACTGACGTTATCATATATAGGGAAATGCACAATAACTCTGTGATCTGCAATTTTTTGACAGTTTCCACATCTAATATCGTCAAATGCCTAAATATGCATATAAGTATAATACTGTAGTGTAATTTTTTTGTCCTTTGAATCACATATTATTCATGAACCAAACACCTTGGAAAATGGATAATTAACTGATATTGTTACTGGAAAAGTTTATGAATTGGATAACTATGTAAAAGAGAGAGAAGAACAAGACAAGAATGAGATCTTACAATGAATCTCATATTCATTAACCAAACACCTTGGAAAAGTGGATTTGAGGCTCGACATACATTGCCTCAGTAAAAATATTTGTTTGAACGTTATATCGATTGGTAACATTCTGATCTAAGTATTTGTTACGTTACAATTTTTAGTACGTAAAATGATTAATTTAAGGTTGGAAGTTTTAAGGGGAAAATTATTTATTCATTCACTTGTAAATGCGTGATCAAAATTTGCAAATGTTGAAATAACTTTTTGTTTCTGAAATCTGTTTTGGCAATGCTCTCCCGCTTTGATTTCTTATTTAATATCAGTATGTTTTTTTGCTTGAAGAGTTTGGTTCACTGTTGATTTATTTGAAGTTGAAATAATGTACATAAGAGTTTTCTTCTTCAATTATAATTGAGTGAATTTGAACATTAATGTTCAAATTTTCTTCAAGGGTTGCGTCCAAATAATAGAAAGTCTTTTCTTAGAATCCTTGTTAGTAGTCATTATCCTATATGTTTTAATTAGAAAATCACAAGAAGGAAAGTTGTCTTGAAGAATTCATGTTTATTAGAAAACTTTACTGAAACCTATTTGTTATGTATGTAAGGTCTCTAGTAAGCTGGTCCTCTAAGTCTTCACCATTTCTCCATGTAAACTTATTGATTGTGTGAGAATATTTGTGAATATGATATTCATAATTTGCTCATTTCCATCGTAGAAGTCATATATCTAGGAATCTACAGTAAACTTTTTGTTTGAGAACTTTCTTTTCGCATTTAAAGAAGATCCCAGATTGTTAGATTGATAATTTTATTTCATGTTTATGACTTATAAGTCTATAGATTGTTATTTCCTTTTTGTTTGATGCTATGTGTTCCAGGGACATCTGTATTCAAGTATTTGATGATTATGTTAAAAAATATGGACAAACTTATAAGTCATGTTTAGATTGTCATTTCCTTTTTGTTTGATGCTATGTGCTCCAGTCTGTATTCAAGTATTTGATGATTATATAAATATTAGGGTTTGTTCCCTCTCATGCAAGAAGGGGGATTCTCATTGCAAGACAATATGTGATTTTTTTTGTTTTTTTAAGAGTTGTCTAGTGAACTCGTATGTACATAGATTTCTCATTTCCATCGTAGAAGTCATATATCTAGGAATCTTGTGTAAACTTTTTGTTTGAGAACTTTCTTTTCGCATTTAAAGAGATCCTAGATTGTTAGATTGATAATTTTATTTCATGTTTATATAACTTATAAACATGTATAGATTGTTATTTCCTTTTTGTTTGATGCTATGTGTTCCCTCATCTATATTCAAGTATTTGATGATTATGTGTTCCATATAATATAAATAATATTAGGGTTTGTTGCTTAGGTCGCAGGTTCTTGCCCCACACCATGCAAAGCGATGCCCGGTATTTAAGTGAAGAAGGGTAGAGGGGCGGGCCCATTATCCACCGAGTTTAGAAGGCTGTGATTGGTTAAAAAAAAATATTAGGGTTTGTTCCCTCTCGTGCAAGAAGGGGGATTCTCATTGCAAGAAGACCATATGTGATTTTTTTTGTTTTCTTTAAGAGTCCCCCCCCCCCCCCCCCCCCCCCCCCCGTCCATTTTTTTTCTATTTCGCCACTATGGTTTAAAATGCTATGTATAGTTGAGAAATTTATGTGTCAAGAGTCGATTTTGCATTTTTGATAAGAAATTTCGGCCCCTGTATTATTAGGTGAAAATCATGCTTGAAATATGTAATTTTCCTCTGCTGTAGATTTTTCAAAATAAAATAAACATAAGTTACAGATTATGTATTTTCCCTTAAAAATGTTAATCTTTGATTGCAAATTTACTGTACCCACAAAAATATAAATTTTCAATTTTCGTTGTTTTTCTGTTATATATATATGTATGCCGAAACCTATGAGTGTTTTTTTGTTTACTTTAGCTATACCAGAAGTAGTGTTAAAGAAATGTGGTCGTGTCTTTTTCGATAGTTTGTAAATAATCTTTTTTTTTTCTTTGTTTCACATGAGTAATCGGGAGCATGTACAGGAGTCACACGGACGGCTCTATCTCCATTGACGATGTTGATTCATTACTTTAAGATGACGACGACCTTAGTCCTTACATGTGCATAGTTTTCAATAGTCTGTCTTTGTTTGTAAGGACAAAACATATGCCGTAACAATACTTGATGGATACAGGTTCTTATACTAGTTGCAACATGTTTAGTGTTGTGGATGTTTTTGAACGTAATTATTTTTAGGGAATTTAATAATTTACAATTCATGTGTTTTGGGTGTATTTAAAATTAATAAATAAAAAATGGAAGAAAAATACTTGCAATCAATTCATGTCAGATTGCGATAAATATTTTTTTGTTGGCAAAAGCAGCGCTTGAATGACACAAAATATGTTGCGACAGATTAGTGACGACAAATTCCGTCGCTAACTTATTAAAATGACGAAATGAATTATATCTAACATTGACGAATTAACAAAATAGCGACGGACGGCAATTATACGTCGCTAGTTCGTCGCTAATCTTGTATCGAAATTTAATTTTTTCGTCGCAAAGAGGTTAGCAACGAGCAAAATAGTAACAACCAATATTCTGTCGCTAAACAGATTTAGTGACGGGTATATGCTTAAATCCGTCACTAAACGCAGAAAATATACAGAGTGCTGGTTTGGAATTAAATCGATCTCTAGAGTTCGCTCTTGTTTCATCCAGTTCGCTGCAGGTAACAACCTCATCCTCATCTCATTTTGGTTGCTCTTCTTCCGAGTAGTCGTCGACTGTTGTTTTCGCTGAGTTGAATAATGGTGTTATCTTCTCTAAATACTAGATTTTATTCGTGTTACCAGGTTTGGAATTAGTTTAACAGTATTCCATGTTAAGCACTTTGAATGCTCTTGCTTCTCCAGTTGTCTTTTGTTGTGGGCTGCCTAAGGTTTTCTGCTAGTGTTATCTGTAAAAAAATTTAGATAAGACTAGCTCTCTCAAGTTTTTTTTGGAAGTTGGTGTAATGCTTTCATGTCTTTACTTTTTGCCTCGTTGAAATAAACTCTACTGGTTGTTCGATTTAAGCATCTGGTTGTTGAAATTTGCTTTGAAGAATGCATCTTTTCTTTCTTGGGAAATTTAAAACCTCCGTTTCATCATTTGGGATCATCTCGTAGTATGAAATTGTTAGATTCGTTTAGTGCTTGACGATTATATGTTGCTAGGATTCATTCATTCATTCATTCTAGTTAGCTGATTGTTTTGTCATGAATGCATAGAGAGATTCTTGTTAGCATGAGTGTAGCTTCAATACTGATTATGATTTTGTTAACTTTCTTGATTTAAGAAGGGTCCACTTTCTGTTAATGGAATACTAGATTAGCATGAGTTTTTGTTTCTAGATTTCTTGATTAATGTGGGTATGGTCCGTAACAATTTGTCATGAATTAGTTTAATTGTTGACTCCTTTAATACTTTTATATAAGTTGTTTAAATGTTTGCAAAGCTACTGTTAAGATTGGTAAAAAGTGAGCATAATTCATATAATACTTACATGTGCCATTATGTTAAAATATTATTTGGATGATGTAACTGTGTGCTGCAAATTGATGTTAATTTTCGTTGAAGGAATTTTGCGTTACGCTAATACATTTCTTTTTTTTTCTATGTTGCATGTGAAATCTGCCCAAGTTCACCATGAACTTTCTCTGCATTTCGATAGAGCCATAAAGGCTTAAATCCTGTCCTCCCGAGTCAGTCAACCATGGTGTCCACGAACAGCCGGAAGCTGAAATACAAGTGTTCGGAGTGAGTTAAAGTGCTCAATATACGGCAATATACATCAGCCGTATACGTTGTATATTGCATTGAAAACCGTTTAAAGGAGCCCCAAAATTTCAGCTTTGTGTTTTTGTAATTATTTGGCCAAAGACCCATTTATTTTGATTATTATTTATTAGTTTAGGATAGGTGAAAATTGGCCCAAAGAGAAAATCAACTGTTTTATGTTTAGCACAGGTACAAGTGGCTTAAATGGGCCAAAAGCCCCAAAACGAAATCAGGCCCAAATACTAGCCCAGACGGACAGAAAACCAGACTTGGCTCCATCTTTTATTACTCATGTCTTATATGCTTGTTTATCATCATTTGCATACTTGTTTTTTTTAGTTTTGAGGTTGTCACAATTTAATTTCCCTAAAGATAGCCCTTCCTAATTAATTTTAACTTTTTAAGTAAGCGGCCATTTTCTTAAACTTTTAAAAATATATTTGCAAAATATTAACTTGAGTAGGATCTTAATTTAAACTTGAGATTACTTTAAACTTTCAAAATTGTTTATTTTTCCAAATAGTTAATTGCCGAATAATCGCATGTTAGAGCATTCTTAATTTTACTCTAAAAATTAAGTGGCGACTCATAAAACCCGTCATTTCTTTCATTTTTAAATAAAACAGCTATAATGATGACAAATTATCCTTCTCATTCCTCATTAATTCAACTAATAAAAAACTTACAACATGGTTAAATCAAAACCTTTCAACTTACATTACTCCCTCTCTTATTTGATATAAATGAATAAGAAACAAAATAATACAAATAATCAAAAATTGGAAATGCTAAATCTATATAAATAAGGGTCATAATAAATCCAACAACTACCATAACTATAATTAGCCACCATACATCTTTGTTCAAAAAAATATTATCAAGATTTAGTGTTTGCACACATGCCAAAACTGAAAATGTTGTGGCATAAAATACTGAAACCATAGCAATTATGACCCTTATAGGCAAAGCAACGTAAAAATCATCACTATGAAATTTGCAAAGAATAAATGATAACAATGTACCAATTGTGACTACTGAACTTATAAGTGCTGCACCTAAGTAAAATATCAACATCCATAGTTCACGTTTCAAATTTTGGAGGAGAATTGGTAGGCCAGTTTTCTGATCAAATCCTCCAGGAACTGTGAAAATCGCGGCAAAATTGACTGTGCAGAGGAGAGTAGCAAGTATCAGAGCTGAATTCGCGAGGTTTCTAATAGCGTCCTCTGCTTCTTTTCGTATATGTAGATGGTTTTTTTCGAATAGTTCTTCTGCTGTTACACCCTTGGAGTTTTTAACGTCCCATAGGCGTGGATGTACGTGGTATTTTACGTGCTGCAGAGATAAAAATCATCATCTTATCAATACATATCATATCGAATCATCTGATTTAGCTCATCATTAAATTAAAAATTACATAATAATTCATACTTTTCAAGGTGTTCAGCCTATGTAACATAAAATGTTTGTGTGTGAAGTCCATTAATTCTAACAGTGTCCCACTTGGACTAGTAATTCAGAGCTTGTGTGGTTGATTTTGAAGGTAATTGGAGTAGTACTAGACTTATATATATAGAGTTTCCCTACAATAGCAGCTAGCTAACTGACATTGTACGAGGCATTGTATGGTAGGCGTTGTCGCTCCCTAATAGGATGGTTTGAGTCAGGTAGATAGAAAAAATTACACTTTTGCCCTTCAAATGGGCTGGTCGTTAATTTTTGCCCTTAGCAATCGAACTTATGCCTAGTAAGGCATAAGTTCTTTAAGGATGCGGCACATTACTTATAAGATATTATCATGTGAAAATGTAAACTTATGCCCCGCGAAAAAGCTGTTGCCTCGAGGGGAAAAAATTAAAGACCAACACAAAATAGGAGCAAAAGTGCCAACCACCCGACTAGATATAGTAACGAGATTCATTGGACAAGGTCCTTGCGAGACAAAAAGGTGAATTTTAGTAAGGCCAAGCATGACATCATAAGACAAGACTTCATGGTTGAATACTCAAATTTAGTTAGTTTTACGCTGACTGTCAGCCTAAACATGAAACCAACAATATGAGCAAACTCACACCGCGTTAAGGAGATCAATCCCTAGCACAACATAAATGCACACAAAAGAGATAAGAAAAGAGAAAAAGTACCTTAAACCAAAGAATCCCCCACATCATCATGAACACAGACAACACACACCACACTTCCTCAAAATGCTCTGAAGTTGATGTCCTAAATGGTGATCCAACATTTGCTGCATAATGCAATATTGTATTCCCATCTTCATCAATATCAGCCAACATCCTTTCTATATGAGCCACTTTTTTTACCAAATAATCAAACAAAAACCTATTCTTATGTTCCACTGCTATATGCAATATGTTCCTCTTCTGTTCATCTAATGTCTCAACAACTTCAGGGTAAATTTCCAAAATTTCAACAACTAACTCATTGATTTTGAGATTTGATGCTTGTATTAATGGATTTGGCACAATGTAGTCAGTATTATAGTCCCAATCATAATTTTCCAGCAACATTTTTGCTAATATTAGAGCAAGAATATGGTTTTGCTTTGCTTCATCAATGACTTGTAACCAGAAATTACCTAAAAATACAAGAAATATAATAGTGAGAAAGTAGGGCATTAAGAGTTTGACTAATATCTACCGACACTCTAAAGAATTTTTACACTATCAAATCACATTTACATGTTATAACAGGTGACGTGTCTTATTTTCAAAATTACAAATTCCGTTTTTGTAATGGAGAGTTACGCGTATAATTTTTACACTATCAAGTTATCTATACATGTTATAGTAGGCATATAATATATACTATTTTAGCAAATGTAAAAGTGGTATATTCAATTCTTAATATCAATCATATAATGGATGATTATATGGAGAGCATACCTAACACAAAATTGGTGAATAAAAACCTTTCTCTGTTGACAATTTTGGTGCTAGCATGTGTATACAATGGAGGAATACCTGCTCCATCAAATAGTAAGTTAAATGTAGTAATAACCATAGTCAAAATTAGAGAAAGTAAATTTGGACTATTTTTTCCTGAAGCATTTTGACACGTGGAAATACAATGCAATTAACTAATAATAAGAATATGAATGACCTTAAAGTATAACGAGACAAGTAGAGGAATATTAAATGTGAGCTTACAAGAATAGATCATAGTTTCAATCATCTGAACAGGAACAGAAGGTGTTTTCCCAATTTCTTCAAACAAATAATCAGATCCACTTTTGAATGATAATTGCTTTGTAGCAATCACATTCAAAGCACTCATTTTCTCATTATCACGTTGGTTAACAAGTTCAGGATATTGATTCACAATATATATTGCTAGATCTGCTTCACACGAAACAAAATAATAATTAGCGAGTCAATCAATGGATATAGTTACTAGGTACCTGTATTGGTGGAACATAGCAACAATATAAATAAAGATCACAAATTTCAAATTTAATTTAATCCGCTCATTCGCTTATCAATATAAAACTTACCATAACAATCATGGGCTACTGTTGCATGAAGTACAGTTTTACCATCATTCCTCTTCATAGTTACCTCACTAAAATCACAATTTGCTAGAAGAGTAAATACATCTTTCTCTCCACTTGCCGCAGCTACGTAAAGTGGTGTCTCACCTGCAAAAGCCAAGTTAGAATTTCAACTTTATGTGTTGGATTTTAGAATGAGTACACATTCAACAAATTTCATAACACAAATATACTATTTGAGCAAAAGTTACTGAGTTTGTTTGGTAGAACCCGGCCAGTATCTGGGCTTCCAACTCCGCCTCTAACTCACCTAAGTTGTTGCGCACAAAAACTAAGTCCTTCTCCTTCTTCAAAATCATCTCAACTACATCTTTTTTACCAAATTTTGCAGCTTCATGCAATGGTGTATCTCCATTACTATTCCTAGTTTCCAAATCTTTAATGCTCAAATTAGAATAAAGAATTTCGAAACCCGCCAAGTTACCATGGATTGCTAGAAAGTGAAGAATGGTATCACCCCGATTATCCATCGGGGAAACACCTTCTTCTCTCCAAAACTCGCGTAAAATTTCTAGAGACCTCCCTTCAGATGCCGCTATGTAAGCTTGTGATCTTCGACTTGCTTTGTCACTCAAGTCCCTCTGCATTTTAATTCTATCTTTTCTTGGGATTCCAAGTTTCTTTTTTGGTCATATATATAGTGCCCAACACTGCAAGTATATATCCATCACTTTTATATTGTGATGGATGTACAAATTAGTTTTATAATTATGGTACAGTGCACTAAACCCTCATTATGTGCGGGGTCCAAGAAAGGACCAAACCACACGGATTATTTCCACGGCTCGAACTGCGACCTCCTTATTTCATACATGAAATTTGGAATATTTACTAGTGGATTAGTTGCTCAAGTTTAGTTCTTTGGAATAACAAAAAAGAAAAGTTATGGAGATGTATTTGCTTTATTGATTTAAAGTAAATTAATGTGTGGAAAATCTAAAAAGAAACATTGGGTTTTCAGCTTTCTTAAGTTAAATTAACTATTTATATAGCAAAGAGGTAAGGGGTTTCTTCTCACTATTCAAGATATTTTTCTGTTTTTGTCAAATAGCCATATCCTAGAGATGGAATTAACAGTATTAATTTCACTTTAATTGTACTTACGTACTATATTTTTATATAGAAAGATGACCAGTTGAAGTCATAAAGTGAATATAGTATGATGTAAGGGCCCAAAGTGATGGTATTTGACTGTCCATAGAGTTTACGAAAGAAAGACAAACTTCATGCACCTGTCACGAGTATATTTTTGAACTTCTTTATGAAAGACAGAGTTCTTACACCTATCAGGAGTATATTTTTGAACTTATGGTTTTAAACGTGTCATGATATTTTATGACGGTAAAAGCATATCAAGAAGGTTAAAACGAGAAGTTTAAACTTAATTAATGAATCTGTCTTTCTTTTTAGAAACAGACCAAAAAAAGCAAAAGTGCCACATAAAATGCAAGCAATCATAGAAATTGTAATCTTCCATTCACTATAGGGGGAGGGAGTCGCAATAGTTGGTTGCTCAGTCAAAAATATTTAAAGCCTCTGTCCAATATATACATATATCATGCATCTGGCAGATTTTTTTTGGGTGGATGGCTATTTATGTTAATTTCTCAAAATAATATAAGAAGCTGCTGAGATGAAAAATCCAAGCAAAAGAAAAACCTCCAAAAGTGTTTAGAGGTAACAGAGACCATTGATATCATTCAAAGCAGCTAATTAATATGTGATTGAACTTTAGTGTCTATAATAACATGAAAGTATGATCTCAGCCAGTCCAGCAGATTGTACAATCTGGGTGAGAATATTTATTCATAAATTACTTGTGGAAACGGCCTCTAACAGAAATGCAAGGTAAGACTCGAACAATAGACTGTTGTGGTCCGACTCCTCTCCGGACCTCACACATAACGGGAGAGCTTAATGCACCGAGCTGCCCCTTTACTTGTATAGGACTAGTATAAGCTTATTTAATCAACTATATGTACACCTCAGAGAGATGCTGAATTTTACAAACACTATTGTGAAGAAGTTCAGTGCAAAATCAACATCTCACTGGGGTTGAGGTCGCGATTGCACGATGAAAATCTCGTTACCAACCAAACATCCTTCGACATCTTGAGGAGAACCAAACTTGCGTTCTAGGTAGAAACCAACAGCGCCAAGCCTCTGACCAAGCTGACGTCTGAAAATGGGGTCGATTGTTAAAGGTTTCTTGCTATAATCGACAGTCAAGAGAATAACTTCTCCGTCAGCAGGGGAATTGCCACCTACAACCATCTCCTCACTAAAGTTGGCGAATGCCAGTGTGCGCACTGTGTCGTCAAATTTACCACTAGATAGACGCCACGGTGTACCCCTTGTTCCTGAAGCGAGTGTTTCACCGAGTCCAGGTGCAATTTCAGCCTCAATGAAGTTATGATTGTTGTCCGTTGGGCTCAGTGTGTGGAGGACGAAAGATAAATCTGGTGAAAGCATTTCTTGCACTAGCACGGCCATTGTAGCGTCTTTCTGGGACACACCAGCAGCTCTGCGGCTCAGTACTGCTCTTCTAGTATACAACGAGGCCCAAACACGGGCTACAGCATGTCCAAACCTTATCGGATCTGAAGGGCTAACATTAGGAATTGAATCATAAAGTCCAGCAGCTGACATCCCCGCCAAGTCCTCGACATTAGCACTTGAACGCACTATTAAACGTGCATTACCGGGAAATACTTCTCCCAAGCTTTCAATGACATCTTGTCCAGGCAATAGAGAAGATATTAACTTCTGGAGATCCTCACAATGTTTATCAAGTTCACCGCCATCAATTTCAGCTGTTTCTATCTGTTCGACAAGCAATGTGAAGGTCTCCATTAACTTGTTCATTTCCAATGCCGTTTCCATGGAACCAAATGGAATAACTGCTCCTGCAGGAACGTTAAATGATGCTGGTGCACCTTGGTCACTATAAACTGCAATCAGATAGATCATCAGACCAAAAAAAAAAAAGGCAAAGACATATATTGCACCAATGGAATCCATCATTTATTTATGCTATGATAAGCTAAACGCAAAAATGAAGTACCAATCAATGTTGACCAACATCGAAATTTAACAATGTATAACAAGCATAGGAAATGCAAGGGGCCAAATTTTTAACTGGAAAAAGAAAAAAAATCAAAATAGAATGGGAGCAAAAAAATTTACATGGAACGTTCATTTTTAAATAAATCATTGGGGGTTCGTTAAGCAGAACTGACATTTTAGCTACAGAAACTAAGAAGAAAATAATAAGTATGGATGATATTAAGAGAGGGTTGTCCTGCAAAGAACCAAGACTACCTTTAGTAGAAGAAATGGCCAGTGAAGCTAATTGAGCACAAGAAGCAGCTTTTGCACCAGAGGTTTGTATATCTGCATCAACAAGAGGAATAACACCTCTGGTAGGTCCAACCTGCAAGTAGGACTTTGGCAGCTCGATAAGCAAATGATAGAAAAAGAACAAAGAGAAAGCAAAGCGAGAAAAGAGGGGTGGAACTGAACTAAAGCAGAACATATTTGCACAAAAAGGTTATTTGCAAGGAATCAATTATTTACCTCTTTAACTTGAGATGATTTGACAGCAATTGAGGAAGCACTGCTGTCTGATGAGGTTGCACCTGCAGAAGAAGCATTACTTGAAGGAAGTTTATTTGGAGAAACACCGCCCGCCTTCTCTGATGAAGAAGCAGTTAACTTTACACCAGTTGATGATGCTTCTAACCTGAAAAACAAAGGGAAAAACCAAAGAAAATTAAGGACAAAATAAAGAAACTACTAATGCATTATAATCATCAGTGAGTTAAAAGGTTTGAAGAATATAACCTCACATATTTTCCTAGTAGCTGTCTTACATCAGAAACTTTGTCATCGTCGTCGCAGGTCACAAAAACTACCTTTTCCTGCAATCAAAAGTATGTAACACTTCTATGACTAACACTCATATAATTAACTTTTGGACAACAACATACCCAGTAGAATCCCACAAGTGGGGTCCAGGAAGGGTAGAATGCACACAGACCTTACCCCTACCTTGTGGAGGTAGAGAGGTTGTTTCCTAAGGACCCTCAGCTAGAGAATAGCAAATCAAAGTAGGTATGAAAAGTAAAAACGACAGTGAAGAAGACAGTAACTAATAAGGAAATAATAACAACAAAAATAATGCGATAACTGAAACACGATAAACAACAAATGATGATAGATCATATCAAAAGCAAGACACTACAAGAATAAGGCTAATACTATGACAGACACCACCAAGCCTAAACCGAAAAAAAGTAAGAAAAACACTCCACTACCTACTAACCTTCTATCCTAATCCGCGATAGATAACAAAAACAAGACACTATAATTAACTTTTGGACATGGAGCCAAAATTTGGAACTCACCTGCCGGGCCCTAACACCTAGATGAGATAAATGTGGTAGCTCCTGTAGAAGTACAACTCCAGATATGTTACTCCCTGCTGCAGTCACCTGCAAGATGGTCAACAACGCCATTCAGTATCTTCCTCCGAGTAATACATAAGTTTCTAATGCTTAGGATTCTGCAGAAGCAACATAGAGATGAGAAGTGCTAGCAACCTCTTCATCTCCATCAGCTTTGTTGACTACAAGAATAACAGGTCCTGTTGCCGATGATGGTAGAGTCCCAGGGATAATTCTATCCACCTGAAATGTGAGTAATCAACCAACATATCAGCATTAAACTCGTTTTACCTTGGATAAAATTTCAAAAAGAGAAGATGCAATTCACAAGAGTTAAGGTCAAAACATAGAACTAGTACTGAACTGGATAGAAGAAATTACACTGCAAGCATTCAGATAAACTTAAGTGCTTCGTTGCTTGATCAGAATGAATTCTTCTAGACTCTTTTGCGACAAAAAATCTTACTTCTAGCAAATAAACCAAATCTTTTTTATAACCCTGGTGTCTAGGCCAGCTTGCGCTCGCATTTCGAGCAAATTAACCAATTGTTGTGCAAATACCAGCTAGAGCTCTAAATATATAAATAAATTGCTGGAATAAGAGATTGACAATATAATATTCACCTGTATTAGCTCTCCAAAAGCATCTCCTGGAACGAGAACATCCCATCCCGAAGACCCAATTGTCCTTCTAACAGCCTTCAAAAGTAGTGTAGCAAGCTTCGAAACCTGAAAAACCACACTACAAATTGCATGTATTTTACAAAGTTAGGCACTTTGTTAACTTATAGTAACATCTTCTATCAGACAGAGAAATAAGAAGAAAAAGATTGGAGCAACTCTATTCAGAACAATAAAATATTTGTCCAATCATACCCTGCTCGAATTTCAGCTTCAGTGAATGTTCTGACAGTATTTTCAGGAATCCCCAAAGATTTTCCTAAAATCTGCAAGAACATAAACTCAGTTCAAATCCCAATTTATATATCTCTTAACTAACAAGCATGTCAATGACACTGAATAAAATAAGGGCTGATATAGGAAAATCATTTTCCTTCCAACTGACTTAGCTAATCCATATCATCATGTGGTCCAAATGTAACTGTCCAATTTGGATAGCTTACAGGCATGCCACATATAATGGAGTTTTTAAAAATAATAATTCCAAACTAGTGAATAATAACACAACTGAAAATAATAGCTAAACCGGTACCACGAGAAAAATTGAAAGCTTAGAAGCCACTACTGTGTTCTGAAGTACTCCCTATGTTTCAATTTGTTTGTTTGGTTTTGACTTGACACAAAGTTAAACAAAGTAAAGAAGACTTTTGAATCTTGTGGTCTTAAGCTAAAGATATCAAAATGCCTTTAATCTCTTAAGCATGTCATGTGGAAAGTTAGAATTAAAGAGTTGCCAAAAAAGAAAAGAATCATTCTTTTTTAAACGGACTAAAAAGGAAAGTAAGACGAGCAAATTAAAGCGGAGGGAATAATTTATTTTCCAAAAAGCTGTTATACCTGTACTTTTTCAGGGAATATTTGGAGAAGTGTCTCGGAATACTCCTCAGTTAACCTTCGACTTCTATCAAGAGTCGCTTTTAGTCTTAATGCCCATATAGTCTTACCATCTTCGCTGCCTTCAGTTAGGATAAGCCCAAAAATTTTCAGGATTGCTGATGCATTCTTTATTGCACGCATGATAAATCATTGATGACAATAAGATACCTTCAATTTCTGAAATACCCCTTTCTTTCCATGACAAAAGTTCATTTCCAACAGCTTTGCATTCCTCGGGCTTCCAACCAGATATACCTAGCTGTTGGATTCCAACTGTAAGTGCTCCAATTGGATCATTCCAAGAACTAATGTTTTTCACTGTTACATTCTCTGCAAGCCAATCAGCTCCGCCTAGAGCTTCAACTGCATTCACAAACCTATATTTCGAAGAAAATTT